ACAGATTTTTTTAAAAAAATAATAACGTAATTATACTTTGTTAGCTCATATCAAATGAGCTACTTGATAGATTAGGTTTTGCTAACTATTATTGCTGGAAAAAATAGCCAGTGTCTATTACTGCTAAATCAGCACTTCTAGCTTTCTGAAAGGATAGGAAGATGGAAATGCTGTGTTACAATAGAGGAGGATCTACTGACATAGCTTAGTAATATGGTACATGGTGTATGATATACTGTATTCTAAAAAATTGATAGTGTCCTTCCAGATCTTCAGCAGCTTTTTAATTCTATCAGCCATGGTAGCCTTCTAGATTCTAGTAGTTTTAGTTTTATCTGTTGTGCCATGTCCAAAGAGTGGTGGTATTATACTTACCAGTTCCTGGACCATTGAGAAAAGGATTCCCACAGAAGTCCATTCTTTATTCCATTGAACATTGACACAAAACTTCTTAGCGAGGACATGCTAATGATACACAGGAAGCAATTGATATCATTGAAACTTCTGTAATTTGGGCTAAATGGGAGAGAGAAGAAGTTAAAAGTTAAATCAAGGCAAGATAGAAAAATAGATTTAGTGAGGGATATTCTGTTTTCATTGATTTACACTCCTGAAACAGTTTTGCAGCCTAAATGTATTCTTTATTCTTCAGTTGTCACTAATTTTACAAAACACATTTCTATGATTATGACTAACCTTTAGAAATGTTTGGTAATTGCAATTAATGCAAAGCAAAGCATTAATTAATTTTGTTTTAACTATCTGGTGCCAAAATCTGCACTAGTACCCAATTACAAATGAATTTCTTCTCATTTTATTTGGTATAATTTAGGATGTTGATGTTAAACTCTCTAAATTACTTAGGACCTCTCCATCTAAAACAGTGGTTCTCAACCTTTTTAATGCCGCGACCCCCCCCCCCCAACCGGTCGTAAGTCGAGAACTACTCAACCGGTCATAAGTCGAGGACTACTCAACTGGTGCAGCACCGTTTGCAGAATGGGACTTTTGGCGGGCTCAGCAGGGCAGAGACAGCCTGGACAATTCCTATTGGCTTTTGAAAGCCAATAGAATTAGACTCTATTCAAGAGAGTCTATTCTATTGGCTTTCAAAAACCAATAGAATAAAATGGAGTAGCACAGCTAAGGAAAAGGGGGGAAAAATGGCGGACTGCGTTGTTTGACGACCCCCGTGAAATGGTCGTTCGACCCCAAATGCGGTCCCGCCCCACAGGTTGAGAACCACTGATCTAAAAGAACTTTTATGAACTTGTCTGACCATTAAGTTTCATAAATGAGGCCCTTTCTCTGCTGCAAAAGATTCATTTATATGCCATGTGGAGGTATTGTTACTAGGCCATGAAATAGAAATTGCTTTGGCAGCCCATATCTTTTTTTCTTTTATCAGAATAGCCAAGAAACATCTGTTTCTTCAGATTTTTAAACATTAAATTCTGCACTGAATTTATGTCTTTGCATTTTTATTTTCTTTTGCATTGATTCTTAGACACCTTGGTTGATCAGATTGCAGGAAATGTAAGGTACAAATTAAATAAGCAATATAGAAAAATATTTTTGCCAAAGAAATATGGGAATTTTTATTACAGGTGTGAACAGTCCTTTCTAGCCTGGGGACTGCACTTCTTTTTGCCTTCCCTATGAGCTAAATCAGCAGAACCAAGTTTTTTAGACTACTTTTTCCCCATTTTGGGGGGGCAAAATTGATTACTTAAGTGATGCCAGCCTAAAACAACTGTTATACCCCTTCAAATATTATCTAAATGTTTATTCATTCAGCCCCAGTTTCTGTAAGGCTTTTGTTCAGTTGAACTTCAGAAGGTACATACAACTTGTAGACAGTGTGCTGTTCTCCCATTTTTAAGTGTTATGGGCAGTCTACAAAAATATTCTGTTTATTAATGGTATTGCTGCATGATACATACATGTAGTTCTCGACTTAGAGCTATAATTGAGCTCAGAATTGTGATCATAAGTTATCGCAGTTGGTAAGCAAAGTGCTGTGATTCCCTCACTTAATGACCACAATCCTGCCAGTCATTAAACTGCAGTCATTAAACAGAATCTTAGGGTGGAAGAGGACCTGGGAGGCATGCAGCATCTCTCCGGCTCACACATGGCCTTCCCTGGGTTTGTCAGGGCCTCCCCGTCCTGAGGCACCATTGCACAGTTTCCTACCCTGTTGGATCCCACATCCTTGGGCCTCCTTCCCCCCATCACATCTTTTCTGAAGATTGCCTTTTGCGAGAAGAGGCAATCAATGCACCACATTCCTGTATAAAAGCTACATGGTGCCATCCCAGAAGTGTGTTCCATTTCAGAAGTGGCTGCAAGTTTGGAAGTGGGACCTAGTGAGGCAGCAAGCAGACTCAAGGCCTGTGGTGTCCCAGCCAGGTGGAAAGTAGGCCCAAGGGACCCAGCAGGGCAGGATGGGGGAAAGATGGGTTGGGGGTAGCTGCAGCATCCTTGTGGTTGGTTGTAAGAGTGGGTACATTAACAAATGCCCAAATTTTGTTCATGTAACCGTGGGATGCTGCAGAAGCTGTAATTTTGGATACTAGTCATAAATTCCTTAGTTCAGCATTGTAATTTCAAACTGTTACTGATTAAGTGACTATAAGTGGAGGACTACCAGTATGGTCAATTTCATAATTGGTTCAGTTGTTTACAGTTATTATTACAAGTGGGAAGTAATCTTTATCATCTTAGTTTACTTTTTTATAGACTATATGTGGTTATCAGGAGCAGTCTTGGCTGAAGTCACATCCATGTTTTTAAGAACCAGTCTATGAATAAGAGGCATTCGTCTAGATCAGGGGTAGGCAACCTTGGCCCTTTTATGACTCATGGACTCAGGAATTCTGGGAGTTGAAGTCCACGAGTCATAAAAGAGCCAAGGTTGCCTGCCTCTGGTCTAGATGAATATGATGATAGAAGTCAGCACTTTGCTTTGCACATATTTTTTCCCCATTTGCCATACTGTTTGTCCTTAGGTGCCATGTTTTATATTTATAGCATATTTGGTATAAATGGGTCTTTAGCAGATCTCAACCAAAGAATTCCAGATGTATTTTGTATCCAGATTCCTTTGTACCTGTGAGAAGCATTTAGGTACAGTCCCTCAGCTTTGCCAACCTAGAATGAATATTCTAAATTAATAGTTCTCCATTGTTCTGTTTTGTTTTGTTTTTCATAATGAATATTTGCCAAACTAAAAACCCACTGAACTATCAGTTTTCCTATCCAGCATTAGCTTGCTGAGTTTACAGACAGCCCAGTATTCGCATATTCGCAGTTCATTAGTTTTTCTCCTTAAGGACCATCTCCTAAGTGCTATCTCACATATATACAAATTAAATTCATATATACACATTTTATTATTGTTTGACCACAGACTTTCTAATTCTTTCTCCTTGGTTTCTGTAGCTCTCCTTATCAAGTTAGTTTCCCTGTTGTTTCTTTCTTCATTCTTGGTCATTCTGACTCCTAACTCACAAACATCACTTTTGTTCTATTGCTTTATTTGATTACACTATTTTTTTTTCATTATGCTAGGTAACTTTTCTATCCTCACGCCTTTTGAGCAGTTTAATGTATCAAAATAAAATTAATTTCCTTTAATTTGAAGCTAAAAGTGCACCTCATCCTAGCGTAATTGCTCATTCTATCGGATGGATGGATGGATGGATGGATGGATGGATGGATGGAGAGAGAGAGAGAGAGCGTCCTTTTCAGTAGAAGAGCAGAGCAGAAAAATAACACTTTTATAAAGGAAACTGGTAGTAAATTCTTGTAAAGTAAAATGTTGAGGAGAGCCATTCCAAAGAGAACAACATCTGCTCGTATTCACATTAGCTTTAAGGTCTGCACTTAACAGTTAAAACTGACTTGGTTCTTGTTACCTAACATTGAATCACCTTGGATCATGGACAAGTTGATTAGAATAGTTACAGTGATTTCTGCTGTAGAACATGATAATAATATTTCTGTTCTGTGACTATTTATATTCAACATGCTTAGAAACTTCAGCTAAATGTGAACGATGCTGTAGTATAGTCAAAAATTGGCATTCAACTAGAAGAACGTTTCTATTCTACGTTCAGGAAATGTAATGAAAAACATAGTTGTTAGGCCCATAAAAATGCGTTTGGGTATATTATCATGTATACCTTTCTGACATAGCCTGTTGTTAAGAACATACCATTCCAAATTTGAGAGAAGTCTAAATACTTAGTCTCTGACATTGGATTTAAAAAATAAGTAGGATTTAATCCTATCATTTAATAAGAAAAAATATTCTCTCATCTTGGCATTTTATGTTCTGTGTACAGACTTCTTTTAACTTTAAATAATTTGGTAGTAGGGATTTACAAATCTACACCTTAATTTTTTTTTTTAGTTTAATATGATATTCAAACATTTTCTCCCCTTAAAAGATATACATTCACACACCATAATCCTCAAATAAGCCTCAGAAAACATGTATAATATTGTGATTTAATGTTACTTTGTGAACCAATGAAATAATAAAGAAGCACAGAAGATATTGAATGTAACATTTTCAGTACTGGCTTTAAGCAATCCATCCAATGTAGTACATTCTATGGGTACTTCATATGTTCCTCTATGCCAGTGATTCTCAACCTTTCTAATGCCGTGACCCCATAATACAGTTCCCCATGTTGTGGTGACCCCCAAGTGGGTGTGGCCACCAATAAGAGGGAGTAGGACAGCTAGGGAAAAGGGAAAAAATGGTGGACAGCATGGTTTGGTGACCCCCGTGAAATGGTCATTCGACCCCAAATGGGGTCCCGACCCTCAGGTTGAGAACCACTGCTCTTTGCATTCTTAAGAGTAGAAAAAATATACCATTTGTTAATTATAACTATGATTATATAAATATGAAAGTTACAGATTGTGGATGGCAGTTGGATTTACCATGTTAGTTATTGGCTCTTAACTTTCTGCTCTGTGTTTTCTAGGCTGCTGAATATGTCCCAGAAAAAGTAAAGAAAGCTGAAAAGAAACTAGAAGAGAATCCATATGACCTTGACGCTTGGAGCATTCTCATTCGAGAGGCACAGGTTTAGTGAAATAGGATTACATTTCCTTATCAGTGGGTCAACTCACAATGCTTGGTTCTCAAGTAAATGGGAATACATTTTACATCATAAATATTGTAAATATTGGTTTTTAATTTTTAGAATCAACCTATAGACAAAGCACGGAAGACCTATGAACGCCTTGTTGCCCAGTTCCCAAGTTCTGGCAGATTCTGGAAACTGTACATTGAAGCTGAGGTTAATATTTTCATATTTTTTTCTTAATCATATAATAAGAATTTAAGTAGGGTTGAAAAATGATTTCTTAGGTGCATACACAAATTCAGGTAAAAGAGGAGTTGAACATTTCATAATTTATGTAAAATAGGAGAAAAGGGTAATTAAAATGAATCCAAATATTTGGGTCTATATGATCTGGTGATTGTTGCATTGTGGACTTGCAACAACATTAAAACAGTTTCAATGGTATTGGAGTGCTTTAGCCTTTTATTTACTTGTCGTGTCAATTTATTGCCTCCTGTGTCATTTATTTAGAGCTCCTTTTTGTGCATGTAAGTTAACAAATAGTTGTATGACCTTTTGGGCTCTAATAGTATTTCTGAACCTGATTTCAGTAGCTGAAAAGTGTTTATCTGGGTTGGGTGGGTGGAGATGCAGGCAATTTTTATTTGACAAACAGTGAAATGTGTCAAGCAAATTTATCCAGAATCAAGTGTGTAAGTACATACATCAAGATATTTCATGATCAGATCAGGCAAGCATTTTATCCTGTTTTGTTAAAAGACTTGAAAGACTTAAGCTTTCTGCAAAATATTTTTTTCTAATTCTTTATTTGGATTTTTAGGTCTTTCACTCCTGTGCAAAGGTTACATTTATAAAAATGATTAAAAATTGTAGATAATAGCTTTTCTGTAGAATAACATTACATAAATCTATATAATCTGGGTTGAAGATCTTCTGCATTGTGTCATATATATGGCATAAAATGAATAGGTTAATATATTTTTGAAAAAAATATGAGAGTGTAGAGTATTTCAGGATATACATTTATGTTAAATGCCTTTCAGAGATTACGTAAAAAGCTATGGTTGAGATTGTTGGAATAAGTATATAACGCACATTCAAATATAGAAATACTCCGTTACATGTTGTGCTTTATAGGGATACATATATCCACCCACTCAGCAACATATATGTCACTCCAATTAAGACAATACTTTGTGATTAACATGCACTGATGTTAAAATTTCTTTTTAGGACAGTTTTCTATTTATGATAAGCTGTCTATCCAGGACTATTTAGAGACTATAATTGTATCCAACATTTTTGTTTCATGAATATTAATTTCTTACATACCCAGGATAAAGTGTTGGATACTATTCTATATTTTTTTTATTTGTGCATATAAATATATATGGTTATCACAAGTTTAGATAAAAGAAACATACTAGTTCTTCTATTTGTTTTTAGGAGACTTAAAGAGCTGCTTACTTTTTTGGTGGGGGTCTCATGGAGCATTATATAGTAGATTTAAATCTTTATTACAATAGTCCATTTGCCTTCTTAGTATTGTTTTTCTTAGTGGAAATATTGGGACATCTGTAAAAGTAAGCAGCTAAACTAAATCAACACTATATGCCTTTCTTAAGTTTTACCCATTAATAACACTAATACATTCTGAGGAGTTTTATTTAATAAGAAAGCTTATTCTGATAGCTCCAGTGTCTTGAACTTAACTTGATAATAGAAATTAAGATAAAAGTTTTTGCCTGAGCATTTTTTTTCCTGTATGCTAAGAAAAGGTTGACTTGCTTTTAATGAAAGTCAAATTTTGTTAAAAGAACTTGATCAGATATTGGTAACTTTAATTACAGAACAGTTATAAAAGATGAGTAGGTTGTAGTAAAAATAGAACCTTTTAGTAATCTGCCTTCATCCTAATATGGCATTTGAGCAAAATCCAAAATACTGTCTGTCATGGTCATCATATTTACTGCCAGCTCTCCTGATCGTCTTCTGTGATGGACAAAATATCCTCCAAGTCATTACAAAGCAGCACTTACAACATATGAAGGGGAAGTTAGGGTTTTTTCCCCTCTTATTTCCATGCTTTATAAGCAAATTCTTTGTACACAGACATCTCTGTACATCTCAGGTTCTCAGTCAGTTAGGATACACATAGGACAAATTACCAATCAGTAATTGAGTTTATATTTTATATCTTCCTTGCCTAATTTGAGGCTTGCCAGATTTGTGAAATTGAAACTGCTGTAATTCCTGAGCAACTAAAAGTTGTCTAGGCTGGCTAGAAATTTGAGAGCTATAGTCCTGCACATTTGAAATGAGAGGATATGTATTTCTTTTTACAATTGGAAATAGGATTAATAAAAACTGTAAAGTCTTTAGTTATATCATAATCTTGGTCTTTATAATTGTATGTCACCAAGTACCTCACTGACTGCAGAAATATTTGATTTTCCTAAGCATAGCAGAAGTGTTTTTTTCTTTGCTGCAGATTTTTTGAATTTTACACATAGCAGCTTAAAGCCTCATTTGACACAATCGGCACATTGAAACTTCTGTTGCTTTTAATGTTTTAAATTATTTGAAAACAGCTTTGAGTTAGCAGGATTCTTAAAAATGGGAAAAATACCAATGCAGCAGATTGCAAGAAAGAATATTTTGAAGTGATATTTAAGGAGGAGTAATTTTGCAAATCAGACCTGAATTCCAATTGTAAACCAGTTCTTGTAACAGTTCTACTTTTAACCTTCTGCCGCCCTGATCTGTGTGAAATATTTTTGCACACCAGTCCTTAATAATTAGTATACCTTTCCACATAAAAACACCGATGTTGTCAGTTGGAGCAGAACTTCTGTGAATGACAGGAGAAAAAGTGATACATTCACCATTTTTTTTACACTGGACAGTATCTTCAGAGGAGGGAAATAAACATCAGTTCTTCCTTAACAGTTATTATACCTTTATTGCATTCAGTGATCATTGAATATACTTGGAAGGTTCATTTCCTTCATGTTGAATAACATATTCCTAGTAATTTTTCTTTTATTTGTACAATTAATAAAAACTAGATTGTGTATTATAAGCTCCCTAATGTTCATTGGCATTTCTTCAAGGAAGGAATGGGGCTATGGCAGTTTTGTTTCTGCTTTTTTCACCCATACCTATAATGCCAAACATGTGGATATGTTGAAAAAGAAAGACTTGCTTCACTGAAAGAAAATGAGTGAGATAATGTTCTGGGGATCCTCTTCTGTAGTGTATCTCTACAACTCATTTCAGGGAATTTCTCAATTGTAGATTCTTAAAATATTCCAGATGTTAAGTTCTGAAATGATAACTCTTATATTTATGAGCTGTGCCATTTGACTCCATCCCTAACAGTTTAATTCCACCCCTAACTTTAAGCAAAGTTATTACTCAGTGAGATTTGAGGACATGAACAAGAATAACCCATGAGCACTTTGGATAAAGCTTTGTATTAAGAGATAGCCTTGTTGGGAATGTGAGTAAGAAATGCATGTGTAAGTTACTAATATCAGTAAAGCTGATTTATGTGAATAAGAAACAATACCGTTATATTTTGCTTGAACAATAAAGTAGTATTTTTGCCCAGGTGAATACGATTCAAATAGAAGCAACAATATTGAAATAATAATGACGGGGGTCATCATTACAGCCGATGGAAAAATTTATTATACAGTGGTACCTCGGTTCTTGTTGGTAATTTGTTCTGGAAGACGCGATGAATACTAAAATCAATGGGTACTGAGAAAACTATGTGAGCCACTATTTCGGCCGGAAGAAATAGCAAATCACGAGGCAGCTGACATCAGCAAGTTCTTCCTTGCGTGTTGACTACTGGGAGAAAGATAAGTGCCAGGACAAGATTTCTGCTTCAAAATGAGTCGAATAATTAAATTGACAAGTTTTGAAGCAGTCAAGTGCAGAAGTATGACTGTGTTAAGTATTTCTGATGGGAAAAGGAGAAAAATCCTTTTCTTGCATTTTGATTGGGATATATCATGAACATCATGAGCCCTCTGTGCCAATTATAAATAAGAAATTTCTGAGCAGGTCTACAATAATCTGCACTGTACAAGCAACTGTTTGTACCAAGTTACGCAGTCCAGTACTTTATTACCTGGTAGTAACTCTTGGCTTTTCCATCCAAAGATTGAATCATAAATGTTTTGCATATGAATGCTGTGCATGAAACTAGGGGGAGTCTTGTTTATATGATAGGCATGTGGTGATAAAATAGATGATAGATCTATTATGATAAGGAGATTTTCTTAGTTCTTACTAAACAATGTTAACCATAAAAGGGGATTAAAATCTCTTTCAGAATATCACTTCTTTTGTCTTTAGTTTTACTTTATGCTGTCTTTCTTCAAAAATATTTTGTATTGTAACCATAGAGATTGATATTTTTAAATTTCTTATATTTGACTGTCTAAAAATACTCTCTTGACTCATTACATTTTAATTTGTAGTTGTTCACGGTATAAATTAATATCATCGCAAAATCTATCTTCATCTCTTTTTCATCTTCCTCTTAATCATCTGTGCAGGCTAGGAAGACTGCATTGGTGAGCTAATTTTCACTCATGCTAGGTAGAGAAAATACCCAGAAGCAGTTGACCCTTCCCAGGACAATGGGCAGAATCACTTACATATATTTTCATTTGTATATAGAAATGAATAAAGCACTACAGATTATAATGGGAATAAACACATATTGTCATATTTTTGTAAATTAAATTAAATCATTTCATTGCCTGCTCTCTAGAGAAGAACAAATGGGGGGGTTGGTTTCAGGTGTGGAAAGATTGCATTCCATTTTGCATTTTTGGGTTGATAATCCATATATTCTCTAAAATAAATGTGCCTTTTGTCGATGGAGATGCTGATTATATTAGAAGCGACAGACTACATTTGGAGTTCCTGAATAAACCTTTGTTGAATCATAGGCTCTTACTTGGCTTAGGGAAATTGAAGAAAGTGGCATTTTCTTTCTTCTTTGACATACTTCTGTGAACACAAATAAATAAAGCAATCAGATATTCTTGGATAAGCTTCAAAATCTTCAACATTGCTTTGCTCCATTTCTTTGCATTGGTTTATTATTTTGATGCAAACTTCATACATTCAGCTGTTGACCATGTGATTAGTATTTGGAATAGATTGGAGAATTTATTCCACCTAAAAAAGAT